ACAAAGCAGGAGGCATCACAATCCCAGATGTCAAGTTATATTACAAAGGTACCCTGATAAAAACAGCATGGTGGTACCATAAAAAACAGGAATGTGGATCAGTGGAACAGAATAGAGGGTGTAGGAACAATCCCAGGCATATTCAGTCATGTGACCTTTGATAAAGGAGTAGAGATAGGCTCTTTTACAAATGGTGCTCAGAAAAGAGGTTACACACATAAAGAAGATTGATTCTACACCCATTATCTATCACTACATACCAAAGTAAAAGCAAAATGAATCAAAGACCTAAATATTAAAATAGAAACAACCTGCTAGAAAATAAAATAGGTAAAACTCTTAAATACTTAGGCATAGGCAAGTACTTTCCAAACAGAATCCAAACTGCACAAGAAGTACCATCAAGCATCAGCAAATGAGATTATATCAAGTTAAAAATCTGCACAGCAAACAACCAATACAGTGAAGAGACAATCTATAAAATTAGAAAATACTTTTACTAGCTACTCAATGCACAGAGGACTAATATCTAGAATATATAAAGTAAAAAAAAAAAAAATCAAAGCCCCAAACTAAAAGATCTAAACACTTGAGAGGCTGAGGTAGGAGGACCACCATGAGTTGAAGGCCAATCTGCCCAACCTGGGCTACATAGTGAGTGCAAGAAGTTCAAGGCCAGTCTGGAATACACAGTAAAACCATGTCTCAAAAAAAAAAAAAAGAAAGAAAAAGAAAAAAAAAATTTTAAATGCCAACTCAAATGAACAGGCACTTCTCAGAAGAAGTCAAATGACTAATAAATACATGAAAAAATGTTCAACATCACTGGCCATTCAAGAAATGCAAATTAAAACAACACAGATTATATCATAAGAAAGAATGGCTATCATCATGGAATCAAGTAACAAAAACTGCTGATGAGGGGCTGGGGATTTAGCTCAGCGGCAAAGTGCCTGCCGGGCAAGCGCAAGGTCCTGAGTTCGGTTCCCGGTACCACAGAAAAAAAACCAAAAAAAAAAAAAAAAACTGCTGATGAGGCTTTGAAACTCAAAGTACAAATAACTTAAAGAGCAAAATAAGACAGATAATACAAAACAGGGAGAAATGCATTTTGTAAAAGGGAAGAGGACCAATAGATGAAGGGCAAGAGGATGGTGGGAAAGGGGGAAAAAATGAAGATGTGTTTATACACATATACCAACATCCCACAATGAACATAATGATTATGTACTGTACACATGTAGTAAATTTTTTTAATTTAAAAAAGGTTAAAAAAAAAAGTTCATGAGAAAATAGGAAATTTAAGTAAGACTTAAAGCAAGGAAAATAATTTTAAAACTTCCTATAAAAAATAGCCCAGGTATTTTTTTTTTTTTTAAATATTACTTTAGTTCAATTTGGTCTTGTTATATACATCAACCTGGCCTCGAACTCAGAGCAATCCTTCTACCTCATCATCCCATGTGCTGAGATTATAGGTATGTGCCACCATACCCAGCTACAGCTCAGGTAGTTACAACACAGTGAATTCTTTGTCAAAAACAATAAATATCAATCCTTTACAGACCATTCCAAAAATTAGAAGGAAAGCTTCCTAACTCAATTTATTACACCAGTATTTCATTTATGAAAAAAAAAAATGACAAAAACATTACATGAGAAGAAATCTACAGACCAAGAGCTACTATTAATATAGACAAAGTCTGTCAAAAAACAAACAAAAAATATTAGCAAGCTGTGCATGATGCATACCCTACTCCCAGCTACTTGGGAATGAGGTAGGAAGATTACAAGATAGATTCCATCCTGTGCAAGACACGTCCTCAAATTTTGCATATTAAAAACATTAATAACACCTCACCAATTTAGCAAGAGACCTTCTCAAAATAAAGCAAAAGGGGCTGGGTATGTACGCATTGGTAGAGTGTTTATGTAGCCTGTGTTAGGCCCTCAATTTAATCCTCAACACCAAAAGAACAAGCAAATGAACAAAAAATATTGGCAAACAAAATGCAGCATCATACAAAAAGGATTATATGCTACAAAGAAAAGGATATACTGTGTAACCAAGAATGTGCCCACATATGAATATATTAATAACCGTATCATGATAAATTATGCATGAAAATATTTGACAAAATATAACAACTTTATATTACTTAAATGCTCCCAGAACAAGGACTAAGAAGAATATTCTTCAACCTGATAAAAGGATATCTACAAAAACACCTGTTAGTATTACACATAATAGTAAAAGACTAGATACTTTTCTTCTGAGATCAAGGATGTTTGCTCTTGCCACTTTTACTCATCACTGTATTGGAAGTTCTAGTCAGGGCAAATGGAGAAAGAGAATATACCGAAGGTATCCTGAGTGGAAAGGGAGACCTAAAACTATCACTATTCAAAAATGACATGGTCTTATATATAAAATTAGCAGAAATCCGTGGAGACAGGGGTGGCGAAGCACACCAGTAATCCCACTTGGGAGGCTGAGGCAGGAGGATCACAAGTTTGAGGCCTGCCTGGGCTACACACTGAATTCAGGGCCAACCCAAACTACATAGTAAGACCTGCCTCGGCGGAGGTGGGCAAGAAAAGAAAAGAGGTGTATAAGATTAATATACAAAATTACATTTATTTCTATGTACCGGCAATGAATATCTAAAAATGAAATTAGGAAAACTCCAATTTATACCATCAAAAAGATTAAAACACAATTAACAAGTACATGATTTGTACACTGATAACTACAAAATATTATTGAAAAAAACAAAGAATACCCAAATACACAAAAGGTATAGCATGCTTATAAAACAGGGTATTTCGTGTCATTAAAATGGTAATATCCTCAAAATGATCTACTGATTCAACACATGATACACGTTACAATATGGATAAATCCTGGGGACATGATACTAAGTGAATCAAGTCAATCACAAAAAGGCAAATACTATGAAATTCCACTTACATGTGACAACCAGAGTAGTCAAATTCACAGAGACTGAAAGAATAATGGTTATCAAGGACTAGGGAAAGGAAGAAATGGAAGTTATTGTTTAGTGATAGCAGATCAGCAATGTGAATACACTTAACACTACTGAATTTCAAAAAGGTTAAGATGGTAAATTTTGTGGCAAGTATTTTAACCACAACAATTTAAATTTTTTCTAATTAAAAAGAATGAGAAGTGGATGTCATCAAAACTGAAAATGTTGTGATACAATCAATACTATTTAATAAGATTTTTTAAAAACCCCACAGACTAGGAGAAAATTTTTGGAAATAACGAATCAAATACAAGAGCCATATTCAGATCACACAAAGAATCCTTACACCATAATAAAAAAAAGAAATAACCCAATTTAAAAGTGGGCAAAGTAATTCAACTGACATTTCTCTAAAGATAAACAAATGGCCAATAAACACAAGAAAAGATCAACATCATTAGCCATTAGGGAAATGTAAATCAACACCACAAGAAAATGTATCTTAACCAAAAGTATGTCTATAACCACAAAGACAGGAAATAAGTGTTCTAAAGGACAGGGAAAAACTGGAACACTCATACTGCTGTTTGGAATACAATAGCTACACATACTCTGCAAACAATTTATTCATTCCTCAAGTCAATCAATATAGATCCATGAACCAATAATTCTACTCCTAGATATATATGAAAAAGAAAGGAAAACATGCTTAACAAAAGGTCATACATGACTTCATGTCAGATTTATACATATGAAAGCCAAGTGGTTATGGTCATCAACTGCTGAAGAGACAAACAAATGTCATACATAGATAAAACGGCCTATTATTTGACAATAAAAACAAGAAGTACTGATGTAAGATGAAAGTACTAATGAACTGAGGGTTTGAGAAGAGCCCATCCCTCAAAGACAAACACCATCTTGCAGTATGTTGACATGGTGGAAGAGGTTAGGGGCTTTCAGTAATTGGCACTAAGAGCCCTCACGACCTAATTATCTCCCAAAGGCTCCATCCACCGCCTAATGTAAGCATCTTGGGAATGAGAATTTCAACATATATATTTTGGAAGGAAAAAAAACATCCAGACCATAGGACATTCCAAGATCTTTTCTTAGATAAATATTTTATTTAACTTGAAGAGTAAAATCAATTAATTGTGCTCAGAAGGACAAAAGTGGATGCAAACTGGGTGTGATGGCACATGAATTTAACCACGGCACTCAGGAGGCTGAAGCAGGAGGATCACCATGAGTTCAAAGCCAGCCTGGGATACACTGGGAGTTTAAGACCAGCCTAAACTACATAGTGAGACCCTGTCTCAAAAATGCAAAAGCAAAAACAAAACAAACACAAAGAAAGAGTGGATGCAAATAATCTAGTAGAGAAGAAGTCAAGACAGATCAATTTTGAAGAAAGCAAAATTATCTGCTAAGACAGGTGGCAAGTGATACAGACAGGTTAGTGGGATTTAAAGAGTGGCTCAGTGAATATTCAGAATTTATTCTAAAGTGATGAGTAAATGAATTAATGGGTAATTCTAAGAAGAAAGCTGAGATTGGAGATAATGATTTTAGAAGACTGTCAGCCTAGAGAAGCTGGTGGCATGGTTCAGTCCATGTCTGAAAGCCACAGAACCAAGGTGTAACTCTCAATCTGAGTTCACAGGCTCAAAAATATGGCCAAAGAACCTGTTCTGATGGCTAAGTGAAAGAGAAGAATGGCATCCCAGGACTAGGGCAAAGAAGAACAAATTTCCCTTCCTCTATCTCTTCCTTCTATCCACGCCTCAGCAGACTATACCCACAGAGATCTGTGAAGACAGATCTCCCTTACTTAGGCCATTCACTCAAATCTCGTCCATGGACATCCTCACAAATGTATCCAGATATAATGCTTTACCAATTATCCAGGTATCTTTTAATCTGGTCAAATTGCTAAGCAGGCACAGCAAGGTATTTTCCATAAGCTAGCAGTAAGAAGGACATTTAATACTTCTTATTTCCACATACCTGGTAAATGGTTGAGACTCTTTAGCACAGTGTCAGGCGAAAACCTCAACATTCTAAGATTTGAAGGACGATGTTCTAATGCTCTGGTTGGCTCATAAGGAATAAATCCAGGCGATACAGATGAAACAGACTGATTAATGCCCAGATCTGAATGACCTACCTATGAAAAGAAAAAAGAAATGAAGAAAGTAAAATTATAAAATTGCATACTTCAACTGCTAACAATCAAACCTCACTGTTATAAAAATGAACACTGAATAGTTACTAACCGTAACTTGAGATTACATTATCAATCTACCAAATTCATATACATGTTTGGTCAACTCCGCTTTATACAATATTCTATAATAAGCCTAGAAGTTTTCTGTTACCTAGTTTGTTCTTTATATTAATAATCATTGAAGAATTTGAACCAGTTTTATTCTTGATAACTGCAAGAATTTTCTTAGGGAAGAAGTATGCTGTGGGGAGGAAAGAATGAAAAGGAAAGATGGAGCAGGAATATGTGTTTATTTCAGACACAAATAGAAGAAAAATGTAAGCATCAAAGAACTATAAAAATGCTAAGCATTAAAACTCTAACTTCAAGAAACTAAAGTAGCAGAGGGCTGCATGGTGGTACATGCCTGTATTCCCAGTATTCAGAAGGCTGAGGACTGCCCATGAATTCAAAGCCAGCCTAGGATACATAGTGAGTTCAAGACCAGCCTGAACTACATAGCAAGACCCTGTCTTTAAAAAAAAAAAAAGTAGTGGGGAATATAAGTTGACATAAATTCTGAAAAAAGTTCCTGAAGTTCCATCAGATCCCACTAAGTCCTTCACAGGACAGAAATTAGAAATCATTATTGGTTGCACTACCTTTCACCAAATTCAAAATATAGTCATATAAAAACAATATTCTACTTTTAGCTCCCTAAAAAGATTAGTCCACCTATGCTATTTCAGGAAGGAGTTTAAACTGTCCTCTTTAAAAAAACAAACAAACAAAAAACAAAAGAAACTGTCCTCTTTTTTCAATTCTCATGAAGTTGGCAGAGTATAGAAATGAATATTTTATATCTACTGTCTACTCAGGTTTCTATGAACCAGTAGTCCTTGATGGAAGATCTTGTACTCTAGAAAAAAACACTCGGCAATGCCAGGAGACATTTTTTATTGTCATAACCTGGGAGAGGGAGGCTGGCTGGTATCCAGTGAATAAAAAACAGAGACCTGCAAAACATCCAAAAATACACACGGAACAGCCTCTAGGACAAAGAATTATCCAATACAAAATGATACCAGTGATGAAAAGCCCTGCCTTACACACAGCACAGTTACGTTTTTCAATTATCCCACTCCCTAAAAAGAAAATTTTTGAGGTACAGCTCATTTGTGTGTGTGTGTGTGTGTGTGTGTGTGTGTGAGAGAGAGAGAGAGAGAGAGAGAGAGAGACACTTGTGACAGAGAATGTGCTGTGTGTTTTAAGTTTTGCCCATGGCTTCCAAATGTGGGACAAAAAAACTATTACAATCTTGACTCTAATAAAATTTCATTATATCCATTTTAAAATGTAGAATTATTACAGTAGGTAATACAAAAAAAAATTTAGGAAAAAAGGTATTTAAAGAAATTAAAAAAAAAAAATCAGATCTTCATTACTAATTGAAAATGTGAGGAACCAAGGAGAAAATGTCAAGATTGTTTATTTTTTTGTTTTTAATCAACAATAAAGAACAAACCAAAGATGATTAAAAAACTAGAAAAATGACTAACATGTCTATAAGAACTTGGGAATCTACAAAGTATCTGATATGGGGGAAAATATGAGCTATTTTGACAAAGGCAAGCTAAATTTGACATAATTATAATGTTCCCCCAAAAAACTTCATGCAAATATCATAAGGACCTAACTCAGATTTAAAAATAAAGGTAACAATCATGCAGAGATAGGATTTGAAGCCTTGAGAAGAAATTATAGATCTGTGAGGAGTGTAGAAGAGTCATATGAAACCAAAAGCAAACAAATGGAAGGCTCAAACCTTACATAATGTTTATATTTAAGTGGCCAAAGTAAGGCATACTAAAGTAGTATTTTATTATATGTTGTTACTAAGATCAAGGAGGAACTTGTTGCACCACCTCCTCAAGGATTCTTCATGTAAAAGGTATAGGAGCTCCAAAAGATGATCTTGGCAAGACACCAAGAACTCACTAAGTCTTATGGTCTATGAAACATTTCCTTTATGCCAACTTGTAACAATTAAGGGAGTACATTCCTGGATATCAGATAAAGATTTGATTTTCAGTCAAAAGTCGATATTAGGGAATATAAATGGGCATTTTACTTTCATTACCATTTTTTAAAATGTTCCTTTCCCTACCCATAAGAAATGGCAAACAGATAAACTTACAGGCTTTTTAAAATTGCTCTCCTCCTCACATGGTTGTTGTACAACGAGTTGCCAGTGCTGGGAACTGTCACAAAGTTCATCAAGCAAATCTTCTAAAGCTGTTAGGTCTGCACACTCACCAGTCACATCCTGTTGACCATATGTCTGGGAAATATAAAAAATAAAATTTAAAAAAATGTATTATGGTCATGTACCAACCCTCAAGAACAATGTAATCATTATGTACTGCACATGTACTAATAAAGATAAAAATTTTAAAGAAACAAGTAATACCTGGCAAGTGCAAGGTCCTGAGTTTGGTTCCCGGTACCGGAGAAAAACCACACACAAAAAAAATAATAATAATACTATCTCCTGAAATAATACAGGAAAAGATCACATTTCCCACAACCACTGTTTTCTTGTATCTCACCTCTCTTCGTAGCTCAGCAACTCTTTCACTGCATACAACAGCTTTTTCATCTAGGCTACAGCACTCAGTATCATCGTCCACCGTAATGACATCAGAGTCAGCCTTCCCCTGCAGGCCCTCTACAAAACAGGAGTCATTTTGCATAACTGTATATATAGTAAATCGGCACTCAGCTCCCACAGGCCAAAGAATTTCACCTTGGCTTCTGTCAGCTTTCAGCAAGGTCTCTTGGCCAACTGTAATTACTGATGCAGCACCAGTCAGCAGTAAAGTATCTTCTGACTTTGCATCACATGCCACAAAGTTTGCTGAAAAGCTGCTTCCAACAGCTTCAGGTGGGCCTTGAATGGCATCACTAGAGTTTACATCTTTACCCAAATTATAGTCTGAGGATTCTGCAACTTCTTCAAAGATTTGCTGCTTTAAATCCTGTGGAACCAAACAATCTGAAGCTGATAGTTTCAGTAAGTAAATAATGTTTGAAGAGCCTACCCTCTCTGCAAAGTCAAGAGCAGAAACAGACCTTATCTTCCCAATGGGAAAAAATGGTTCATTGTATAAGCCACACTGAAATAAAGCTGATTGTGTTTTGCCAAGACCAACAGCCTGACTGTAAGATTTTTCACTTAAAGAAGCAGATGACTTAAGCTCCGGAATAGCAGAAAGTGCCTTAATGAGCATTTTTTGAGGTGTATCGGGGGTGATTTAAAATTTGTATACCAATATAAGAAGTTAGCATCATCATCTTCCTTATGCAACAATGGTTCTGAAACTGCTAGTTCAAACACACCAGGAGTATACTGATAGTATGGATGCCTAAGCTTATCAAAGAGTGAGCTTTCATCATTACAATAATTTAATGGGGAAAGATCTGGATTTTTTAGCTCTTGCTCATGGCTTTCATCTTTTGAAGATTTACTGATTTCAGTTAGGATTTCACTTATGATACTGTCTTTCTTGGAAGGCTCAAGAGAGGCAGTAACTGCCTCAAAGGCTACATTTTCAGTAGCATTAACATTTTTCTCACCAAAAATAGTTGCTTTTTGGTTTCTTTCCTCTTGAAAACACAGTTGTTTTGATGTCTCATTCAAGTTGGATCTAGCTGTCTGAAGAGGACCACCAGAAGACTCCATCTTAGATATACCATGTCCCCTGGAGAGCATATGTGCTTCTGAAACTTTTACAGAATTATCAGGAACTATAAAGTTCCTACTACATTTCATCTCTGAAGGTCTGGGGTACACCTCTGAAGATACCAAATTATTTCTAGTCTCCTTTTGTTTAAAATGTTGGCATAATTCTCTTTGTAGACCTTCATTTCTTTCATAACCCTCTAAAGAATGTGTTTTGCTTCAACTCATTCTCAGCTTGTGCCCTTAAATAATCACTCTTACAATCATGACTAGCAGAGGTCAAGGGAACTCCCTTTCCTCTTTTTTCCAACAAACACTGTTTATTATGAGGAGCAGCATCATGTGGGAAAAAAACCAGGTCCTTATTAGTTAGACGTGCTTCTTTCTGCTTGCTGTAAAGCCTCAGGTTCCCAACACTGCAAATCTGAACAAGAACCAACAAAACTGTCACTTCTTTTAGTAACTCCATTTTCATCACTACTATCAGGTAAAGACGAAACTGAAACTTGACCTTTATCAGCTAAAATGCTTTCTGGCTGCTGTATCTCTTTCTGTGTCTTCCAAGACATATGGGAATAAAGAACATCATAATTATCACAGCCTTTGGGGGTTTTCAGTTCATCGACACTACCAGATAAAACATCGTCTTCATTAGTCTCTTGTTCAAAAGATAAAAAACAGTGTAGAGCCCCAGCAGTTGTGTTACCTGTAATTGAGTGCTGGGATATACTAAAGCAACTGCTAGTGAAGTCTGAAGGTACTTCTAAGGTAGCCTGGAATAAAGCTTCACTAACTTCCGATGGTCGAGAAAACCATTCTGGGTCTTCGGACTTATCAGGAATTCCTCTGAAAATAAACAATTATATGTAAATAGCATCTTAAAAACATTTAACTTATAAGTATTACTATGAAAACACAAAACTGGTATTTCATTAAAATCAAGTCTATTCAAAAGTGTGTTAAAAAAACAAAGTTCTAATTTCAAAGTCTTTCAAGGTGGTTAATGACTGATCAAAGCAAATTTTCTGTAACCAGAAGGTAAACTAGCCCAATCACCACCAATCCTGAAATTATCTCAGACTTCTAAAACAATGGACAAAATCTGATTTTCGTTTAACCATAAAAGTCTTTAAATGAGAAATTCAAAATAGTCTTTTAAGCTTTACTATTATAAATGTTTCATTTATGACCTACTATGATTTAGTATTTGTTTAACTCATATTAATCATTTACTGGTCACTTATTATGCTATTAATCATTTACTGGTCACTTATTATGCTTATAAAAACCACTCAAGAAGTGATAACTTCCAAAGGTATAACAGTATTTGCATTTAATACATAGTAACTTAATCACTGGCTGACAATCTAATGTGTGCAGAGCACTTTCACAAAAGTGATTAGAAAGTAATAAAAAGCAATACTCTCTAAGCATCCATAGCTTCTACTTTAAGGTAGATTATCACTTCAGTTCAAAAAGGAAAAAAACTTACATTCTTGGATAATTTCAAGTATGTTTTGAAGAATTCCACTTTTCTCCTATTATGATTATTCTAAAGGACATCAATTTGGAATTTCTGCTATAAATATCTTGCTACTTCATATTGACATGTACTACAAGGCAAGGAGAGCTCTAGACTTGATTCAGTAATAGCTGACCAAAATGACAGTGCAGAACAAGTAAGTAATCTAAAAATAAGTAGGGGGTTTATTTGTTTTGCAGAAGGAGAGTGAGAGGGAGGAAAGGGATGACTTCAGCACATGCAGAGGTTTATAATAAGGAAAATCTTGCGTGCCTTTATAGTTATAATATGCCTGGAATGCTAGAATACATCCAAAACTATTTTTAAATAAACTATGAACACATAACACATCTTTACATGTACATTACTGTACCAAATTAGTATGTATCACTTAGAGCCTTGTTACTTTCAGAGGTTGTGGCAAGGATATCTAACCCTTACTCCAAAGCTCCACCTTCACATCAAGTCATTATTATTAAGAACAACATGTAACAGTAAAGAATAGAAAGCTTAGAAGCAAATAAATCATCCTACCTCAGAGGTGCAAAATCTAGCTCACTTTGGTGAAACAAGAATTCAGGCCCAAATTCCTGGTCTTGTGTCAAACATGTCAGCAAAGGCAAATCAGGAGAAGCAAGGCTATCCTGTACAACTGTAATGTTTCAAATAGAAAAATGCTGAGCAACCTAAAAATAGATTGTTTAACTTACTCATGTCAATGCTTTAAAGTATATACATAAATACACTACCACCTTGAAATTTCTATAAACATTAGAATAATAATGTAACAACAGAAGCTACCATTTATTAAGCCTGACAAGGTCCAGATACTTAATAAACAATATTTCATTTCACTTAATCCCAAAGACAACCTTGAAGGACAGATACTATTATATCTACCTTACAGATGAGGAAACATACTTGCGAAAGAAGCATTAAGTAATGTGTCTACATTCAAATAGCTTAAGTACCAGAGATTTTTAAAAAAGTATTCTAACTTTTTAGCAATTGCTAAACTATTCACTAAATGTTTCTTAACTGTTATGAATGTTTCTTTCAATCTTGAGTAATATAAAGACCAGCATATTTTATATCAAAGGGTGATCCAGAGATTCCTGGACCCTAAGATACTCTTACGGGGTACCTACAAAAAAATTGCATTCAAAGTAATATTAAAATTTCATGTACTTTATTTGTTCCCATTCTCTTAAAAGGGAACAGTGCCATTCAGGAACAGAGCCTACAACAGTTTTGATACAGCAACAGACTGAAGACAGAAGCAGATGAGACTCCTGCTATGTTCTAAGTCAGACATCAGAATTATTATTAAGTAAAACAAGGCCACTTCTGCATCTTTTTTTTTTTTTTTTTTTTTTTTTTTTGGAGACAGGGTCTCACTATACAGTTCAGGCTGGCCTCGAACTCACAGCAATCCTCGTATCTCAGGCTCCTGAGGGCTGGGATTACAGGCATGCACCACCATGCCCAGCTGAAAATTTTTCTTTTAGAAAACTTATTCTTCTAGAAACTATGTACTTTATGCTAATATGAAAAGGACTGATTGTTAATTTTAAGTGAGTTAATTTTCAATTTCTTGGTTTTAAGTTCTATATGGAAATACCACATAAACAAACACTCTGGAATTGTAATTGTATGTTATCAATTAGGTGAAAAGGATGCCTGTTACCTAAAAAGTTTAAGAACTGGTGCTTTAAAGAAAAAAATTCTTGTGATTTCTTGTCAGCCTAAAATGTCCATAAATATACACAAACTAGGACCTGAGAGTACACGTCTACTTATTCCTTATAGCATCTACTTATTCCTTATAGCATCTGTACAACTACACTTCTACTTATTCCTTACAGCATCTGTACAACTACAAAACAAAAACTTCTATTTATTCCTTATAGCATCTGTACTACTTATTCCTTATAGCATCTGTACAACTACAAAACACTTCTACTTATTCCTTATAGCATCTGTACAACTACAGAACAAAAACTTAAATATTAATGAAAACAAACTTTATTTCAAAACCAGCTACATTCTATTTAAAAGTAATTTAACTTAATGACTGATGTTTTACTAAGTTGCTTTTTCAATATGAATGTAATATTGCTCATTATAGCATACTTTTTTAATTGCAGAATCCCTACAATAGTATGTACGAAGTGAAGACTCTACCTTCTGACCACCATTTTCCCTGAAATTACTGTAAACCAAAGGTTCACAGCATCTCTATCCATCACTTGAGCACCATCACACTCCCACTGCTCTCACACCTTGCGTACTTTCCCCACCATAATTCCTCACTTTCATTTTAATCTTTAGTCTATCTGCATTCCACTAAAATTGTCAACTCTATGTCTGCTTTATTTACAGCTATATCTTCAATACCAAACAGAATATCTGCTATACTTAGTAGGAACTCAAACAGAATCATCTACTTATCATTTGAGAATCACTCCTCAAGCTTAACTGACTGATTTAGCAAACTAAATTAGATGAGAACCTAATCAAATTTCCCCATAAGGTCAGCATTGAACCTAACCACTGAATTGGTTCTTGTCTAATTCAGTTTGTAACCAAAATCATGGAAAGAAGTTCATGAACTGAGGTACCACTGTACATAAAGTCACTCTATCTCAACAACAACAAAAAAAGAACCAGCTCTAACCAGGTTCTAGAACCTACAGGAATCTTTATTATCTTAAATAACTATTTAAGGATACCTAAGAAATAGTAATAAATAAATAAGCTAAAAATTGCCTTTCAATATCTCCTTGTTATAAAGTATTTAAGAATATTTCAGGGTAGAACTAGAGTTAAACAAAGTAAATGGAAAAAATATATTTGCTAAAGGTGAAGGCCAAATGCACAGCATAAGTATGTTTCTGAGTGGTGGGAAGGTTGTATCTATCTTACTGACAATGTCTTTCTTTCAGCTTTCAACTGCTTCTTGTCCCTTCACATTAAGATAGGTGCTTGCAGACTGGACATCTCTTTCATCTAACCATTCTGGCACCAGTCATTATCAGTGACATTTGCCACTGGTGAAAGCCTCAACACCACAATGACATTATTTATAGACAACAAAACAATTGAATTTCCTTACCCATCACATCCAGACATCTAATAATTTTAAGTGTTCTACTGTATCTGCGTTAGAAGTTACATAGTACAAAGTGCTAAAATCTATTACAGAATTTACCTTGACATTCTTCCATGACACAAACTCACTTTGTGGTAGTGTTGTTGTTATATACCTTCTTTTAGAAAACTTTTAGATATGTAACATACACACATATACACTCTTAGCAGAACAGCCCTTGAAAGTTTTCTCTTTTATCTACTATCGTAGCCATCTTTTCCCATAAAAGTAATCTAATTTCATTAGTATTTTTCTTCCTATGTGGGCCTAAAGTTGATTTTAATGATTCACATCATAGACTACCTTGATTTGGACGTTAGGTTATATTTGAAAAGAACTTGTGAATTAAGTTCTGCTATGGATTGTGTCTAGATGTACCTCAAAACCTCATGTGGTGATAGGTGGGGCTTTTCAGAGGTGGCTGGATCTAGTGTGTGATGCTAGGATTAAGTGTAAGATGTTGGGATTGAGGGTGCATAATTACTAAATTAGTACACTGATTGGTCTGGCATAGTTCTGGGAGTGGATTGTGGAAAGGCCCTCCCTAGGTATCAGTGATACCCACCCCCCCTTGAGGGTCTGGATAAAACATAGAGACACAAAGAGGAGTACTGTTTACTGCTTGCTATTTCCCTGCTTTACTGTCTATTTGCTTTGCCATGAACTATTTCTCCTGTGATGCTTGTCTGCATGCCACCCTGCCTTGGATGCAGCCAATTATGAAATGAAACCTATATAAACGGTGAGCTAAATAAACCTTTCCTCCTTTAACTCTGGGTGTCAGTATTTTTCTCAGCCATAAAAAAAAAGTAACTAAGACACGTTCCATTCATGCTTCTCTACAAAATGCTTTAAAACCATTTTCATGTTTCCATATCTCGGTAACATGAAAGATATTTAAGTTTGTCTTTTACAAAGATCTAACAAATCATTCTATAAGCAAAGGAAACGAGTCAGATCTACTTCAGATAAGCCAAGCCACTTACCCTCTTCATCTCAATTTTTTAGTCTCAAACCTAAGGACACCAGGAGTTTTAATTAATTCTAAGAATAAAATGGGGTAAGTATGGGCATTTGTTTTTTGCTTTTTAGAGAATATTGGGTCTATTTGCCGAGCAAACAGGTCAAAGTACAATATACGGTTTACCCAAAAATAACTGCCCGTTCAGGACTAATGAGGCATACCCTCTAGAGAGGAAGTTATCACCTTTCTGCATTTCATAAGCAGCGGGGTGTGAAAAAATGAGCGGCAACTGCACATTTAACATAACTAGACCAGATGGCCAGTGCAGAAAACTAGAAATAAACTAATATCGTTTAGTATGGCTCTACAAAGCTCAACTCAAAAAGGATTTAGTTAAGTACAGGCCTTAGTTGTCCCCCTCCTCCAAATTGTTTTACAATATAATGTGAGGTATTAATTCTCATTTAAAATGCAAAGACATTACCTAGCAATGGAGAACATAAAAGATTTCTGTTTGGTTCCTTTACTTGATCTTCTGATTGGATCGATACACCTTCCTCCAGAGAGGGAACGTTTATCTCTTTGTTTCCTTTCAGTTTCACGTTAATCCTCATCTGAGAAGCATCCGAGGTTTGGGAAGAGTCTATTTCTTGAGGAAGGCACTGCCAAGATTCCGTTTCCTAAAACAATAATTTTAAAGGAAAAATATTACATTTAAAGGAAATATTAAAGTCATTAAATGAAATATACACATTAACATTTACATTAAAAAGTCCACTCACACAGCATAGTGTTCTATTTTATGACATTCCCATTAAAGTGTCAAAAGAGTAAAGCTGTTCTAAATTCTCATAATATAAACATTTCAGACCTCTTTCTGCTGTCCCACTTCCTAAAGTGCTGACAAATCACTGCAGTTTCCGCTAGATTTTAAATTAGTTCCCATCATTAAATCAATACATTTGTTTCTACCTGATAAAAATTTTACAGCTTTATTATAATAAAACTGATAAACAATTTTCCACACCTGTGACCAATTTACTTAATTTTATTACCTATAGCAGTTTCTAGACGACTTCTGACACTTCAGTATATAACACTATCATATCATCCATGAATAATGTAATACATGTCTCTCAAATATTTACTCTTAGATCAGTGTATATTTTAGAGTAATGTTTCTCAAACTATGGTAAAGGATGAGTTTTTCCTATCTTCAATTCATTACAAACTGAAACTTTACTTAAGTACTTATACAAATTAGTAATAACTAACTTTTTAAGGTAGTAAAAACAAGTACAAAAAAGGAAATTTAAAAGGCATTTAACTTCAAAATAAAAACTACAGGCCTAAATGTTTGCTTTCAAGTTCTAAAAAAATAATATTACTGTCAAACTCACAGAAAATTTCTAAATAATACTTTTCAATTTCTGTACTTACCACTTGACAGACAGTAACAAGCAATTCATGAACTGACACCAATCCCCAGACACAATGAGTACAACAAGAATTACAGTTAAAGTAAATATTAAAAATGACCAGTTTTAAAAGGTATTTTCCTTTCAAAAATGGTATTAGTGCTGGGCATGGTGTCGCATGCCTGTAATTCCAGCACTTGGGAGGCTGAGGCAGGAGGATCATTGCAAGTTTGAGACCAGTCTGGGCTACAAAGTGAGCTGAAGCCAGGCTAAAGCCAGCCTGAAATGCATAGCAGGACCCTGTCTCAAAAAGACAAAAAAAAAAAAAAAAAAAAAAATTAGCTAATAATTAAGCATATTTTCCTATCCTGCAATAAAAATATTCCTTGCCATTTTTAAAATAATTTAACTAGAAACTAGTAGTAACTTAGATCAAACTATACTGTATTATCCTTTTCCTCTAATTGCACAAAAGAATAGCAATGAATTTCCTTATATTAAAATATCTTCATATTTACTATTTGGTAGTAGTAGGTCAAATTTTTTTTTCTCTACCTCCAGTACTAGGGAGTGAATTCAGGCTTTCACACTAAGCTACAACCTGAGTTTGTTTTTATTTTTGAGATAGAGTCTTCCTAAGTACTTGACAAAAAAATAAATAAATAAACTTATTTGCAGAAAGCTTTTCAAATATGAGAAAAAAATCCAACATACTGGTAAGTAAGGGAGATGGAACACCAAATAGACACATGCAGAGAAGAACTTTTCCATCACATATCACAATCAAAATCTGAGAGGTCCAACACTAGGATATAATCTTAAAAGCTCTTATAGAAAAGCAATAAATCACTTATAAAAGTAAACCTGTTAGAATTATAAAGGGCCAGGGATATAGTTCAGTGGTACAGCGCCAGCCTGGCAAGCACAAGGTCCTGAATTCAATTCCTGGTACCAAAAAATAAAAATGAAAAACCAGAATTATAACAGATTTCTCAACACAAATGTTGAAGGCCAGAAGGGCTTACAGTGAAGCACTTAAACCCCCCCCCAAAAAAAAAAAACCTACCAAGACTGACATATCTACAAAACTACCATTTAAAATTGATAGAGAAATAAGGCTTTCCTGTGACAAAAAGAACATTAAGAAATTCTTGAGAAATAAACTGGCACTCCAAAAAATGTTCCAGGATACCCTAAAAAGCGACAATGAAGCCAACAATTCTAGAAAGTCTAATAGCACAAATACACCAGGCAAAGTGAATGAACAGTTTAACAGAAGGGAAAAGAATCAGCCACAGGAAAATAATGCAATGACAGGAGTAAGTCAACACTGTTCAGTATTAATTCTCAATGTGAATGGTCTCAACTCCCAAACCAAAAGACATAGATTGGCCCACTGGATCAGAAAACAAAACCCAACAGCATGCTATATATAAGAAACACATTTAATCCCTCAAACCAAAAAAATCAGCATAAAAATCAAAGGATAGAAAACAATATTCCATGCAATGGAACCCTGAAAACAAGCAAAAATAGCTATTGTAGTTTCAGACAAAGTGGACTTCAAGCCAAAACTGATCAGAGGAGACAAAAAAGGGCACTACATATTAGTTAAGGAAATAATTCAACAGGAACACATAACAATTATAAGCATATAAACAATGAACACCAGCACACCTCAACTTCATAAAACAAACACTGCTAGACATAAAAGACCAGATAAACATCAATACAATTATAGTGGGGGAACTCAATGCCCCATTGTCACAAACAGATCAGTCAGTGGGTCACAGAATAAATCACGGAAGAAATTGGACAGTTCCCAAATTAAAATAATAATACCATTAAAACATACCAGAACCTATGGAACACAAGGAAATCATTCCTAAGAGGGAATTTTATAGCTCTAAATGTGCACATCAGAAAAGTACATGAGCCCAAATAAATAAACTAATGATGCACTTCAAAGTCCTATAAAAAACAAGAACAATCTCAATCCAAAGCTATACAAGGAAGGGAATTATAAAGACCACAGCAGAAATTAATGAAATCAAGATTTTTATAATACCCCCCCCAAAAAATCAAAGGGCTGAATCCTTGAAAGAATAAACAAAACAGACAAACCCTAAGCCAATCTTAAAAAATAAAATCAAAGAAAAGCCCCAAAGCAATGCAATTGGAAATAAAAAAATGTGAAATCACAACAGACACCACTGAAGTCCAGAAGATTATTAGTAACTACTCTGAAAACATGTACTCCAATAAACTGGAGAATCCAGAAGAAATGAATGGATTCCTAGATAAATATGAATTACCAAAACTGTACCACGAAGATGTAAACGCCCCAAATAACCCAATAACTGGCAATGAAAATGAAACAGTAATTAAAAATCTATCACATAAGAAAATCCCAGGACCCAATGGTTTTACCACTGAATTTAGCAAGATCTAAGTAACACCAACACTCCTCATACTCTTCAATGAAACTGAAAGGAGAAGGGTACTGCCAAACTCATTCCTGGTGGCTAGCACTACCTTTATTCCAAAACCAAAAATGCCCAACCAAAAAGGAAAACTACAGGGCAATCTCTTTAATGAATATAGATGCAGCCGGGGTTATAGCTCAATGGCACAGTGCCTGCCTGGGAAGCACAAGGTCCTGAGTTTGATTCCTGATACAAAATAAAAGTAAAGAATGAATATAGATGCAAAAATCTTCAACAAGATAGCAGCAAACAGGATGCAACAAATCATCAAAAGGATCATACATCAAGACCAAGTAGGATTCATCGCAGGGATGTTTAACATATCCAACTCAATAAATGTAATACATCACATAAACAAAAACAAAAATCACATGATCATAGTTCAAGTCCCAGCACCAAAAAAAAAAAAGAAAGAAAGAAAGAAAGAAATCAAATTGTCCTTTCTGGCAGACAACATAACCCTTTACATAGAAGACAAAAAAATTCCACCAAAAAACTCCTAGAACTAGTAAACAGATTCAGCAAGGTAGCAGGATACAAAATCAAGGCTCAAAAGTCAATTGACTTCCAGTACACCAATAAAGAACCCACCCAGACAGAAATTAGGAAAATAATACCTACCATTCACAATAACATCAAGAAAAGTTAAGTGCTTAGAAATTAACCTAACCAACGAAGTGAAAGACTTCTATAACAAAAACTGCAATACTGTCAAAAAGGAGATCAAAGAGGACATCAGAAAATGGGACAGATATTCTCTGTTCCTGGATAGGAAAGATAGTCCCTGTTCCTACATATGCAGAACCAATATTGTAAAAATGGCTACATTTCAAAAACTGGTAGCACAGACTTAACACAATTCCAATAAAAATACCAACAGCATCATTCACAGAAGTACAAAGTACAATCCTAAAATTCTTATGGAACCAGAAGAGAGTCAGAATAGCAAAAATAAGCCTGAGGAACAAAAGCAAAGCATCACAAGCCCAAACTTCAAATTATATTACAATGCTACAGTGATAAAAACATACAGTACTGGCACAAAAACAGACATGTTAATCAATGAGACAGAATAGGGGACACTATATGTTAATTTGTTTCATGTATACTAATAGATTATCTTAGTTCCTTAAAAAGAAAGTTTGTGTTATGCTTCTTTTTTGTATGCATCTTTCTGGTTTACACAGAGTATTGTACTGAGTACTTTCAAGATAACAATACACTGTAATAACTATTGTTATCTTATTATTTGATTATGAAAATTTTTTAATAAAATTTTAAAAATATTTTTAAGAAGAATAGAGAACGTTAAAACAACTCTAGGCACATTCAGCTATCTGATCTTTGACAAAAGGACTAAAAAATACACTGGAGAAAAGATAGCCTTTTTAACAAATGGTTCTAGGAAAACTGGCTGTGCACATACAGAAGACTGTATCTAGACCTGTATCTCTAACTTTGCACTTGCACCAAAATAAAATTAAGTGGCTCAAAGATCTAAATGTTAAAAACAGAATCTGCTAGAAGGTAAAATAGGTAAAACTCTTGAAGACATAGGCACAAGTAAAAACTTTCTAGAAAGAACCCCAACTGCACAAGAAATAGCATCAGGAATGAATACATGGGATCATATCAAATTAAAAAATCTTCTGCATAACAAAAGAAACAACCACAGAATGAAGAGACAACCTACTGGATGGGAAAAACAAAAATTTGCCAGTTTTTCCTGGGACAGAGAATTAATATCCAGAATATATAAAGAACTCAAAAAAACTA